TATATATATATATATATATATATATATATATATATATATATAAAACAAAAGCACAGTGAATGGGAGAATACATATATACACACATATGTGTATATATATATTTTCTCCCATTCACTGTGCTTTTTTAAAAGCATTAGAGCACTGGAGAAATATCTCTTTCTGCTCATGTACCAATTAGCTTCTAGTTGATAGGAGCAAGAAGTACATATAGAATTGTATGGACCATGAATCACCTGTTCATACAAGATCCTTTAATTTCAACAAGGCAATAAAAATCACCATAACTGATTAATGGCACTCTAGAAACTAACCTACATCTTCTCTGGGAGGCAGCAGAAGTGATAATTAGGGGGAAATGATTTCCCTAGCTTCCTGGAGATAAAATTTAGCCCAGACACAAGTGAAACAGCTTTATGGCCAATTAGCACATTTGGAAAACATCCACAGACTGATTCCTAATCAAGACATTCCTAATCAAGACATTCCCACAGAGAGATTGAAACTTAGCAGAAACAAACAAACCAAAGATTTCATTATGAGAAATCCAACAACGCCTTAGTATGTCTTGGAAAAGGACAGAAAAAAACTTGACATGTCTTCCTTCCTCACTTACAACACTTCAAACACAGGACTGTAGTCTGATACACAAAAATGATCAGATACAAGTGACTTCCTTGGATTCTTTATAATTCAGAACAGTCAACTGACATATCCACAAACTGATTAGAATACTTAAAAAATTCCTGTCCAAGAAACCTGAGCGAGACAAAGGAAACTGAAGCTAGCAAAGTTATAAAATCCTTAGACTTAGGAAAAGCTTGCAGCCCTGATGAGATTGCAACACAGTTTGACGAAATCCTTACTGCAAATTCCCCTCCTTGCTGAAGTGTTTAATTGTTCATTTAAAGCATACAGTTCCAGTTTTGATGTTACATTCTAATATCACCTGGTGCCTCAAAGAGAATGAACCACCAGAAGAATGTTCTCACTATAGACTCCATTTTATTCCTTCAAAATTAAATGTCATAGGATCATCTACCAAATGGTCATGGTGGAGTCTCCGTCACAGGCAATTTTAAAATCAAGATTGGATGTTTTTCTAGCAGATATGCTTTATCAAACAAGCATTAGTGTGGGGCACTTCTATAGCCTATGTGACACAGGAGGTCAGAGTAGATGATCACAGTGGTGCCTTGTGGCTTTCGAATCTATGAATCTATTCCTCCACACTGCTGGTGGATGTATGGCAAGGAGGCATTCAGCAACATCATTAGCAGTGGCCATATCCCCAAATCCAAGTTTTTGTAACTCAAACAAATGTAATTATAAAAATCACAGATCTAGATATAACTCTAGATCCTTCAGCCTACTTACTAGGGGCTTTCCTGCAAATATCCTCTGGTGGGGCAACATAGAGATACTTGTTCTTGGCTAATTATGACAAAATTTTAAATGCAAATATACAGATTCCATCTCTATAACTGGCTGGCTTGAAAGAATCTGAGACATTCTGATCATGGAGAAATGAACCCGTTCTCTCAAAGAGTATATCTACTCTTTGAGCTGGGGGTGCAATCCCCAGCTCAAAAAGACATACCTGTGATAGCTCTGATTGAACTAGTGTGCTAAAAATAAGGTGTAGCGACCGTACCCTGAGCAGGAGGACTGGCTAACTTTCCCAAATACATGCCTAGCATCTTGGATGAGTCGAGGTGGCTAGCCCCTCTTGCCACTCAAGCTACTGAGCTATGCTAGTTGTGATACAATATAGGGCCCTTTTTTTCCCCATCTGTGAGAAGAGAAACCCCATTGATTGACTAGCTGCAAACATATTTTGGAGAATGTCTGAGTCTCGCACTGGTTGACATCCAGATTCTTCTCACAGTCTTAATGGAATAAATATCATGGTAATGTGACATATTTGCAATTGCTATTATATTGTAATCAGACTTCAGAATGGATCAAAAGTGATCTCTTTTAGCAAAGCAAGAATTTCATTAATATTTCCCATTCCATATCTAATCATTAGATTAAAAGAAACTTCATAAAATACAAATTAACAGTTTTCAGTTAGAAAAATATTCTTCACTTATTTTCTTAAGACACAGGGATAGTCTTAAGTACATGCTTAATCTTAAGCATATGCTTAAGCGCTTTGCTAAATTAGTGCCTTGAACAATTGCTGATTTCTGCATTTCAGAGGTGAGTGATAGGATTCATATAGAGAGTTTGCTTTTCAATTTAAAATTATACCTGAAATAAAAAAAAAACCCACCACTTCTAGCAGATTTTTTTACATCACTGTTCTACTTTTGCTTCAAGTAACACTTAAGATTACTAAAACTGAAAGAGATTTAGAACATTCTCTATTTTTCCAGTTTGTTTATTTGTACATTTGACATTTTCTATCTAGTCAGTTTCATTATTTCTCATGAATATAGTCAGCAAGTTGCCCCTGCTTGGTTAGTTAGAACACTTTTTAAAAATACAAAACTGATTGCGAAAGCTCAAAGGTCAGCGGGGCCTCAGAGACAGGTGTAGTACCTGAAGCGACATTTAACTTACATTTTTGAAATTGGCTAGATTTCAGACAGGACAGTATACTTTTCAGTTTCTAAAGAGCTTTAGAATACTTCACAATGAAATGCATGATGTATATGTGAGAGATCATTGTAACATACATTGCAGTTAACAAAAAAATCAGATAACAAAGCAGTCGCTCATTATAGAACAGGTTGCATCTTGCCATCAATTGCATGGGGACCCCCCCACTGAAGTCACTGGGGTTTTGCATAGAAATTGATGGCAGGATTTGGCAAAAGTTACGTCAATACCATTGACATGTTATTTTATTTGTTTCACTATTCCTCAAAAGAGAAGAATATCTCATCCCAGAGTGCAATAATTCTTTCAGGTTGCATTGCCTACCATTAGTATGGTTGCGATGACTTAAAATTGTAATCACATGGCCACCTTTTTACCACTTACAAACTGCCAATATCTGCTCCATCTAAAGTGATAAAAGAGTTTTTGGAAGATGAATGAAAACTCTGAGCCAAGGTAAGCTGAAGAATTATAGGGTATCACCATTAAACAAATAGGTTTAGTTTTACATATATTTCATTTGTGTCTATGAAGTAACAGCATTTTAAGTGAAAGAAAAGAGTTATTCTAATATAGCAGTCAATGGTATAATAACGTAAAGACCTTGGTCTTACCCTTTGTTTTCAAGTCGTTTAATACCTTTGATTCGGTGGGCAGTATATCGCTCACTAGTTTTATCTCAATATTTTGAGACGCCAGTTCTAGCAATTTTTCAAAAAGATGCTGGCCCTGGGGAAAATATCAAAGGAAAGCAAGGTTAATAAAATAAAGAACTGTTTGAATTATCCAGCAATAAAAAAAAAAGACACATATAAAAGCAAAATTATATTGGACAGTAACTGGAGTAAACAGCAGTTAGTCCACAACTATGCTGAAATCTGCCTAAAGACTGCCTCCACCCCTTGCTTGAAAAACCATTTTGAAGATCAAATTTGTCTCTCACTTATTCCAGATTGTGGTCAGTGGTGTTGCACAGGTGTAACTGATCAAATTTGGCCCTCGGTTCTTAATACTGCATTAACAGTTTAGGATTTAATTTCCTGGGTTTAAATAAAACAGAGACAAAGGATTTATTTTGTACTGACAATTCGGGAGGTAGTTCAGGAGTAGTACTAAGGGGGTCCAGTTAGGCACTGGTTTGTCTTTCTGCTGCTCTTGAATATACCCAGTTAAACTGGTAATGAAAGTGGCCAGTTGTGCACGCTTAAGTGTGTCTTGGTCAAACATTCAGACCTTTTCTATTTCAAGACACATTTTGAAGATTTTGCAAAGAATCACTGAAGACAAGATACATGTTAAGTCTGAGCTTTCAAAACAAAGCTATTTTGGAATTCTCTAGGTTTTGTTAAAAATGCATTTTTAAATACTTATATAATTGTAAAAGCTAAAAGGGATTTTGGCTAAACTTTAAAAAAAGGAACCATTGGACTGAGACCAAGCATGAAATATTTAAATCCAAACGAAATATGCTGCTAAATTATAAATATCTAAAATGAAGAGCCCAGAATATAATGTCCAGCTCACTATTAGCTATGGTATGCTACCACAATATAATGAGGGTTTGTGTTTAATTGCTGCTATTTTAGCTCATTAAATACAGATGCCATAAGTGATTAGAAGAACATAAAATAAAAAGTATGCAGAAGTCATGGTTTTATTTAACTGACTTAGCCAGGGTCTACCCTCAGAATACACATACACATTTCCCATGAAAGTTAGTGGGAGCTGTACATGAACATCCCAGAGTAAAATCTAGCACAAAAACTTAAAAGGAAAAAAAAAAAAGCAAGTTTTCAAGAATCGCATCATATTAACCTGCAAACAAACCATTCTATACAACACCAGCAAGAAAAAAACATCTACAGAACCATGCCAATGAGCTCCCGGCACAAAATGTGCACCCTTCCCAAGTACATTGATCACACTAAAGCCTTAATAGGGTCCATGCCAGGAAAATGATCCATGCGAAAAATAGTATGTCATAGGGTTACCATATTTCAACACTGAAAAAAGAGGACACTCCACGGGGGCCTGGCCCTGCCCCAACTCCGCCCCTTCCCCAAAGCCCCTGCCCCCTCCTCTGAGCACCCTGCATTCCACCTCCTCCCTCCCACTCTGATCTTGGTTGGGGGTTGCTAAGTGCTTCCCTGCTCCCCACTCGCCCTGCAGCCCCTGCACCCCCCCACCCCAGCAGCCTCTGTGCCCCCTGCTCCCCACTCGCCCTGCAGCCTCTGTGACCCCTGCTCCCCACTCACCCTGCAGCCCCTGCACCCCCCGCCCCTGCAGCCTCTGTGCCCCCCGCCTGCCCTGCCCCTGCACCCCCCCGCCCCTGCAGCCTATGTGACCCCTGCTCCCCACTCGCCCTACAGCCTCTGCGCCCCCCTGCCCCTGCAGCCTCTGTGATCCCTGCTCCTCACTCGCCCTGCAGCCCCTGCACCCCCCTTGCCCTGCAGCCTCTGTGACCCCTGCTCCCCACTCGCCCTGCAGCCTCTGCACCCCCCCTTGCCCTGCAGCCTCTGTGACCCCTGCTCCCCACTCGCCCTGCAGCCTCTGTGCCCCCTGCTCCCCACTCGCCCTGCAGCCCCTGCACCCCCCGCCCCTGCAGCCTCTGTGCCCCCCGCCTGCCCTGCCCCTGCACCCCCCCACCCTTGCAGCCTATGTGACCCCTGCTCCCCACTCACCCTACAGCCTCTGCGCCCCCCGCCTGCCCTGCCCCTGCGCCCCCCTGCCCCTGCAGCCTCTGTGACCCCTGCTCCTCACTCGCCCTGCAGCCCCTGCAACCCCCGCCCCTGCAGCCTCTGTGACCCCTGCTCCCCACTCGCCCTGCAGCCTCTATGCCCCCGCCTGCCCTGCTCCCCCGCTCCCCCGGCAGCCTCTGCCTGCTGGGGGCTTCAGACGCTCGGCAGCGCGGGTCCCTGCAGCCCCGGCTGCAGCTTCCTTCCTGCCGCCGAGCACGTTTCCCGGCCTGTCTGTCCCTGCTGGAAACAGCTCCCGCAGCGCCGGGTTCCAAGCTGTGCGGGGCAACGGGGCCACAGGAAGGGTCCCCCAGGGGCCGGGGGGGTCCCCGCCCGCGAGAGAAGCCCGAGCCCCCCCCGTTCCCCGCCTGAGCATTGTAGCTGGGGCAGCTGGGCTGCGCTGCGGACCCAGTGGATAGTGCTGGACGGACCCTGGCTTATGCCTCCCTATTTCCCCGGACATGTCCAGCTCTTTGGAAATTCCCCCCGGACGGGGATTTGAGCACCAAAAAGCCGGACATGTCCGGGGAAATCCGGACGTATGGTAACCCTAACATAATGCATATGCACAAAGGGCGGGAATTAAGGTTGCACAGGCAAGCTAAATTCAGCATTTCCTAACTTTGCTTGACTCTGCCACCTAAATAATGTTGTTTTAACATAGCTAAGGCTCCACTCAAACCCCTTCCTGTCCCTCCCCACCTGCACAGGAGTGAGTAGCAACCCCCAGCAGCTGCTCTCCCTCCCACACACACATCTGTGGTGTATGTAGTCTGCACAAGGAAGTAAGGGAGCATCTTCCATCCCTTTATTCTACTGTGTGGAAAGGAAAGTCATCTCACTATTGAGTCCCATGTCATTGTATACTTAGCACAAGTGAAGTACAGGAGGTCTCTTAAACTGTCTGCAATACAGCTCCATTTCTAACCATTTATTTTCAATGTGCTATGTATACATCAATGTAAAATAAGAACAGCAGGCTTTTAAAAACAAGTTGAAATGCTTCCTCCAAATTATAGGGAAGCCACAGGGTTGCTATTACAGTAAACAATTGTTTATTTTTACTTGTGTTACATACAAAACCACCGCCCAGCTCCTGTCTCAGCACAGAGCTCACAGAAACTCCAGGAAACAATTGGGCTCTGCTGCTATGAATGCACCAGTGCATCTTAAATGCAGAAGCTCCCCCGACTGAAACAGCTTCTAATGGGGCTGCCCAGTTCATCTCTTTTCCAGGGCAGAAGTCACTGACCAGCTAGATGTAATAGGAGAATCAGAAAACATTTTTATTCAAATTACAAATTGCTCACTATAATTCTGTTCCGCCTTTCCTAAGATCACTAGATGGCCCTACATACAATATTCCCCTCTCCTTATTCCCTAAGGACTAACGGTATAGGCGCCAACTCTGTGGGTGCTCTGGGGCTGGAGTGCCCACCAGCAGCCCCCTCGAATCAGCTCCTCTCCCACCCCTCCCAGTGTGTCCCACCTCCTGGCAGGCCCCACCAATCAGCTCCTCCCCCTCCCCCTAGCACCTCCTGCCTGCCGCGATCAGCTGTTCAGCGGTGTGCAGGAGGCGCCAGGAGGAGGGGCAGAGCAAGAGCGTAGTACGATCAGGGGACGGGCAGAGGGGGGAAAAGGCGGTGAGTGGAAAAGACGAGGCAAGGGTGGAGCCTTGAGGGAAGGGGTGGAGTGGGGGCAGAACAGGGATCAAGCACCACCAGGGAAATGAAGAAGCTGGCACCTGTGACTAAAGGCATGATTCAACTCCCACTGAAATGAGTGGGAGTCTTTCTGCTGTCTTCAGTGGGGAGAGGATCAGTCCCTTAGCCCTTAGGGGCTCAAAGATGTTTAAGATTGCACTTCTGTAGCCTGACTGATGGCTGCTGGTGCATAGCAAAAGCAGGCATCTACTCTGAAAATCCTGAGCAATATTTTTACTATCAAAAGACACCCAATGATATAACCCTAGAAAAAACAGTCGAAATACGGTGTTTGTATTCTTAAATTGTAAAAACATTGAAAATCTCAATATAGAAAATGTTAAATAAAAACCAAAAACATTTAATAAAACAGCCAAGGTCATGATGCTAATGAAGGCCATGTAGTGGCTAGAGAGAGTGGTAATTTGTGTTCACTATGAGTAAGAGTGCTGAGAATTGTTGGAGATATACAAATGAAAAGATTTGCCTTTTTTCTATTTGTCACTGCATGGTCTATGCTCTTGGCAGGTGCTCAATCCCACACAATGCTGAATTTAGACTCTCAAAACAACTATGAAAAACACTGAACTCTTTGTATTTAAAGCCTCTTACATCCTGTACTAGTAACTAGGGGAAATTTTACAAATATTTCCTAATACAACCCAGGATTAAGTCTCTTAAATGATGCACTGTATTGGTTAAACTATCCTGCTTTCTTTCCATTTAATATTTCGGACCCAGGTGGTAATATTTCTTGATATGTTTATTTGTAATTTTACTGTTATTGTTCTCTGCAAAAGGACCAGGGAGACGATCTGAAGAGTTTTGTCACTGCTGTCAGCGGCCTTGAAATGTTTCTGTCAAATAAGAGTCCTCATTCTGTAACTCAGGGATTTGTGAGACAATATCAGACTGCTGTGTGACTACACGACAGTCTCCAGTATCATTTCTTACATAGTCAGCTTATGAGATTTGAAAAGAAATCAGGTACCAGACCAAGTACCATGAAATTGCAGCATGCTATTATATAACCTTTATGAAACCATGCCTCTTAGGAAGCTGGCTATATTCTCTTGCATTTTGCACAACCCACTGAAACAACCTTCTGAAAAAGGCAAAGTATGATACAACAAAGTATGTTTCACATGAATAAACTATCATTCTCTGGACAGTTTTGGATCTAAATTACCAATGATCCACAATGTCAATCCCAGCTATAGATGCCCCAGGAAATGGGTGCATTAAAAGCATCACTGAATTAAAAAAATAAGTCAAGAAATGAAGCCAATTT